TACAGTGGGACCTCGTTTGTAGACCGTGTGGGAGTGGCTGGCAGCTGGCGTACAGAGCTGTTACCTGTGTGTACCTGTGTGCATAACCTGTGTATACCTGTGTGTGTTACAGTGGGACCTCGTTTGTAGGTGGGAGTGGCTGGCAGCTGGCGTACAGAGCTGTTACCTGTGTGTACCTGTGTGCATAACCTGTGTATACCTGTGTGTGTTACAGTGGGACCTCGTTTGTAGGTGGGAGTGGCTGGCAGCTGGCGTACAGAGCTGTTACCTGTGTGTACCTGTGTGCATAACCTGTGTATACCTGTGTGTGTTACAGTGGGACCTCGTTTGTAGGTGGGAGTGGCTGGCAGCTGGCGTACAGAGCTGTTACCTGTGTGTACCTGTGTGCATAACCTGTGTATACCTGTGTGTGTTACAGTGGGACCTCGTTTGTAGGTGGGAGTGGCTGGCAGCTGGCGTACAGAGCTTCTACATGTTTGGGTTTCTTGTGGGATGCATCATACCAAGTGCATTATCTGACAGGTAAGGAGAGCAGCATTAACTAACTCTTATATGTACTTTGTTTTATCATGTACGTTTATTATTTACCCCCAGTGTACCTAATTATTCACTCTATTATTTATCCTATTATCTATCCTAATATTTATTCTATAATTTATCCTAATATTTGCCCTATTATTTATCATATATATATATATATATATTTATCATCAATTTACCTATTTGTCCCCTATTTACCTAATTATTTATCTTACATTTACTAACCAGTCATCCAATTATCAGGCTTATTATTAAAGTTTTGGACAGTAATAAATAATAAACTTGTTGTTACAAGAGTAAATCGTGTATCAATCAAATATTTTTAAGAATTATAGCAGGAAATCATTCAATGTTCACAGGAAGGGCAGGAGGACTACGATGATGATATGCATAGCAGTGTTCTGTCTCAGCTCAATCCTCGCTGCCTTCGCGCAATCCTATAAAGTCTTCTGCTTCTTCCGCTTCCTCATCGGGGTGTCCGGAGGGGGCGCCATGAACTGTACATACGTCTATGGTACGTAATCTCTGCAGGGATCATGATCGGCTTATCATTCGGAGCCAGCTCAACAATCCTCCTTCTGGGATATTGTTACTGGGATGGTCACACTAGACCAGTCTACACGTGTTTTGCACACGTGCATGCCAAATTGTCGTCTGCAGAACTTGCCTTATTTAGCAGCATTTTTGGAATGTTGCTATTGCAATGGTGATTGGCAGGAGCTACATATATAAATTATTCAGGCAGATAGATCCATCTCTAATATAAATGAAATTTGTACTTTTTTTCTAACCGGCAATTACTGTTTCAGCATTAGAGAATGTTGGAGCTCCGTACAGAAACCGTGTCAGCAACACAATGCATCTCATCGGAATATTCGGACTCCTGCTGCTGCCTGTCTTCTCCTGGCTGTTCCCCAGGTGGCAGCACATGCAGCTTGCCATCTCCATCTGGGTGGTGATATGCATGAGCTTTTATTTGTGAGTGATTGTGTCTGCCTGATGTTGCAGTTTTAATGCATGGCGCAATTCGCTAATGTAAAAACCGGAAATGCAAATTTGAGTTAAATTGAAATAGTCAAAAAGAGTAGTCAAATAAGTAATAATAATCAAAATAATAACAATAATAATGCTAAAAATTAATAAAGTTGCTTCTCTATCGTTCGTAAGAATTTTGCATTTGACACACCGATGAGCGATCAGTGTATCGTCCGTGGTCGCGTGACGTAGCCGTCGTGATGATTGTCGCGTTGCCACGGCGACGATGTTGCAGCCTGATCCCGGAGTCGCCGCGCTGGCTGTACGCGGAGGGACGGCGGGAGGAGTGCGAGCAAGCCCTGCGTCGCATCGCTCGCAGCAACGGCACCACCTACCCCGAGCATGTACAGCTGAAGCTTGACAGAAAGGTGAAATGCTCACGCTGCGCCGCGTAGTACGCTGCAGCACCTCGTAGTAAGCCGGCGCCTCTTGCAAGCAGCCGTGACAGTCTCATAAAATTGACCTGACCATCTGAGTGAGATGGCTGCACCCAGCTTGGACATTGTTTGGTGCAGACCAGTTGCTGCGTGTATTTTACACGTGCATCCAGAATGTCGACTTTGAGATGTACTATGTCGATGCTGATTGGTTAGAGACCGTCCATCAGGCCAAGTGACAGGTCCGTCTTGCGAGTCCGGAAGCATATACTCCATGTCTTATTGTCTGAAACCCTGATTCAATATCGCAGTCTGCAGGACCATGTCAAAATTGCCGAAACAAAATTTTTTTTTTAAACATCGAAAAGAATACATCTGTTGGTGTGCTGAAATCATCACCTTGAGTAATGACCAGCAGATGACACAATAATATATGTAGCATACTGTCACTGTGTGTTTGTTCCTCTGTGGTGTAGAAGCATCTGGTGAAGTCTCCTGATGGCAAGGTGAGAGAGCCCAGCATCCTAGACACAGTGCGTACACCGAATATGAGGCGAAAATCACTCAACCTGATGTTTCAGTGGCAAGTAGAGTAGCATATTGACAATCAAAGGCATAACTAATCTAATAATAATAATAATAATAATAATAATATTAATAATGTTATCATCATCATCACTCTTGATCATGAGCATGACATGTAACATCTACTCTCTGTGTGACAAGATTATACTGTCACTCATCCATTACGTGTACATACGGTACCTGATCTACCTGTACACACCTGTATTAATCTTCATCGACCTGTGTCTACCTGCTGCTACATGTACATAGCTGTGTCTACCTGCATCTCACTGTCTACCTGTGTTAATCTGTACATACCTAAGTATACCTGCTTCTACCTGTGTGTGTCTATGCATTCCTTTGTCTACCTGTACATACCTGTGTCTACCTATACATACCTGTGTCTACCTATATATACCTGTGTCTACCTGCATTTACATATGCCTACCTGCACCTCATGTTGTCTACTTGCATTTACCTATACATACCTGTGTCTTGCTGCACCTATCTATGTCTATTGGTACATACCTGTGTGTGCCCGTACATACCTATATGTGCCTTTACATACCTATACGTACCTGTGTGTGTTCGTAATACCTATACGTACCTGTACCTGCAGGTTCACGGTCTCGCTCGTCTACTACGGCCTCACGCTCGGCTCGACCGGCTGGACGAAGAATCCCTACGTGGGCTTCACGGTGAACGTGCTCGCCGAGTTCCCGTCGGTGCTGCTCTGCGCCGCGCTGCTCAAGTATTGCGGCCGCCGCCTCGCTCTCGCCTCCACCATGCTGCTGGCCGGCGGATTCTGCCTACTCACCGCCGTGCCGTGGCTGCCGCGTGAGTGTCCGCACCTGCGTTTGTGATTACCTGTCTGTAAAGGACGACTGTCTATAAAGGACACCTGTCTATTAAGGACAACTATCTGTAAAGGACACATGTCTATTAAGGTCGTCTGTAAAAGAGGGGGGGGGGAAGAATCAGAATCGGAGTCAGAGTCGTTTTGAGATGTGTCGCGAACGGTTTTGTTATTAGTATTCCCCGGTTAAAACAACCCGTACATTACAGGTTTCACTGTACCTGCTTTCTGCCATCTCCTGTTTGCTAGCTGAGTGTGCATCAATGTTGTGTTATGTCTGCATGTGCCCAAAGTGATTGCCCTCTAGTTTCAGTGAACAAGTGAGTCATGGATACACTGGCTTCATGCAGTGACAGTGTCGCCCTCTATTTTCAGTGAACGAATGGATCGTACCCCTGCTGGCGTCACGCAGTGACAAGTGTCGCCCTCTATTTTCAGTGTAGGAGTGGATCATGCCTACGCTGACGTCGCGCAGTGACAAGTGTCGCCCTCTATTTTTTCAGTGAATGAGTGGATCTTGCCCCTGCTGGCGTCGCTGGGTAAGATGTTCGTCGCGGCGACGTTTGCCACCGTCTACATCTACAGCAGTGAGCTGTACCCGACAGTGCTGCGCAACGTGGGCCTCGGAAGCAACTCTGTACTCGCACGCATCGGCGCCATGGCTGCTCCCTACATCAATCTGCTGGTGAGCGCCCCCTAGTGACAGCTCCTTATATTTACCTGATGGTAAGCGCCCCTTAGTGATAGCTCCCTATATTAACCTGATGGTAAGCGCCCCCTAGTGACAGCTCCCTATATTAACCTGATGGTAAGCGCCCCCTAGTGATAGCTCCCTATATTAACCTGATGGTAAGCGCCCCCTAGTGACAGCTCCCTATATTAACCTGATGGTAAGCACCCGTTAGTGACAGCTCCCTATATTAACCTGGCCCCCGATTGACCGATCGCTACGGAAACCAGGAAAGCGCCTCGTGGCCGCGTCTGTTGTGTAGATGGAGCCACTGATGTGGACTTGTGTTGTAGGGGGAGCATGAGAAGCGGCTGCCATTGTTTCTGTTCAGCGCGCTCGCCGTGGCGGCGTCTGTTGTGTAGATGGAGCCACTGATGTGGACTTGTGTTGTAGGGGGAGCATGAGAAGCGGCTGCCATTGGTTCTGTTCAGCGCGCTCGCCGTGGCGGCGTCCGTCGTCGCGATGCTGCTGCCGGAGACTCGGGATCAGTTGCTACCGGAGACACTGGAAGATGCGGAGCTGTTTGGCCGGTCAGTCCTCTCACTCCTCTATACGCTACTGTTATATCACTATACTAGTATGTACACTTCTGTTATAAATTACCATATACCACTGGCTGCATGGTTCCTTTAGCATTAGTCGCTTCAACGTACGTGGCTCTTATTGATCGGTTGGCATACTCCAGCCTGTTCCAGTTTCCCCTGGCTCATAATAATCCTCCAGTCGTTGCTAATGAATGTTCACTGTTGTCATCACTAATTGTTTTATACCCCTATCTTAATTGATCTATTACCCCCATATCCTGTAACAACCTTTATTACACTACATAATACCCATTAGTGCCTTTACTATGCTACACTACTATATACTATACTATCAGGAGTGAATAATAATAGATCTATTATTATTCACTCCTGATACGATTGTATGACTGTATAACTATATACTCCACTGTTATATCACTGTATACTACTATAGTACTCCACTGTTATATTACTGTATACTACTGTATACAATACCACTGCATACAGCTATATACTATACTATTGTATCACTAATAATAATAATGAAATAATAATAATAATAGGAAAAAATAATAATTATATAATATATTGTAAATTCATTATTATATCTTTTATATCATCAGCCAGCGAATAATCCGATAAGGGAATAATGCTCCGCACATATATCTGTTTCAGAGACCAGCAGCTGTGTCAGCTTTATCCCCCGCCACCCACCCAGTATTCACGTCATCCTGGTAGGGCAGGAAAACACGAGAAATAGATCCAAGATTCCAGGAACTCCTGATATGAGAGGAAAATACGAAAAATAGATCCGAACATATATAAACTCGTGAAAGGAAGAGAAATCACAAGAAATAGAGACCAGCATACATGAACTCCTGCTAGGATGAGAATACAGGAGAAAGAAGTCCCAGTGTCCAAAATAATTACTCTGTTTTATGATCACGTATTTATTTTTAGCTCACCTTGACATCGGCAAGCTGAGCTATTGCCATATGGGTCGTCGTACGTCCGTCCGTCCGTCCGTCAACATTTCGCTACGGGTCAACGATAACTCAGGAACCGTTTGGCCCACATGTTTGAAATTGGATATAGTTGTTTACTGCTATGGCTCGCATAATTAAACGTCCTATTTTGAAGCACGCCAGCCTCGACGTACTTTCGAGCCACGGCAATTTTTTGGGCAAAAGTGGGAATTGCCATTAGTCAGTTCAGGTTCAACGGATTTGCTCATTTTTGGTATGTGAATGAATAAGGGCTAGGGGTTTTGATATTTAAAAAAAAAAATTATGCAAATTAGGTAGGGTTTGGCAATTATATAGCATATTATATAGACACAAAACAGTCTGTGGTGTCACACTCGGCTGGTTCGTTTTACAAGATTTCATTGACAATATCTTTAATGCAAAATTGGTATTTCCTTTCCACCCTGCCGATAAAACGTCTATATTAGAGTAAAGTTTTACGAAAACATGTCGGAACGCAGCATAACCTATTTATTTCAAATGCATCGCTACAAAGCGGGTATAGCGCCATCTACGGTCACAAATTGTGATTCATTTTGTTTATAAATTATTATTGCGATATACAGATGGCAATCGTTTCTATAATGTACGTCGATGGTTGCTCAATTAAAACTGACTTCTTCTACTCACTCATTTGCATCCTTTTTAGCTCATCTGACATAGTCAGATGCAGCTTGTGAATCGCACGATGCGCCCGTCGTCCGTGCCGTGCGTGCGTGCGTGCGTGCGTCCGTCAACAGTTGGGCACAAATCTTAACCGCTCGACGTACGGTCACGATATTCGGCACATCGGGGGGGATCGTCAAAACGAGTTGGGATGACGAAGCTGGGGTCAAAGGTCAAAGGTCAAGAGGTGTAAGAAGGGGGAACATTCACTCCTTAACTTAAGGTATAGGGAGGAAATGCAGAATTGCGGCAAGCAAATCTAAACGGCTCGACCTAGGCTCGTGATAGTCGGTGTGTAGCATCATGGTAGGAAAAGCGCATCACTGTGCCGAAATTGGAGTCACGAGGTCAAAGGTCAATGGGCACAGGCAGATTTAAACATTTTCTGAGGTCATGGTCTGACGGAGGCGAATGAAAAACTTTTTGTTTCAGCCGGTGACGCTAAGCATTTTTATGGCCCTTATTGAAAGGACCATGAATATGATCCCTTCCTGCTGGTCATGCGAAGAGTAACGTGTCGATAACCTTTTGACCGCTCAGAGAGGGGTTAAATATGGATTGTCTTACTGTCCTGTTAAAAGAATTGATTGCCGGGTTTGCATAGTAAGCATCTATACAATGCCATGGATTACGAGCTAGACAATGTCACAGTGAAATTTCAAAAAGCTAAATTTGGTTTAAGAAGGTTTATGCTCGCTTAAACATGCTATAATTTCTATGGAATCTCTGCTACTGTCAGTACTTGTTACGATTGTAACGTATGGCCACTGCAGTGGCATGTGGTGGTGGCTTGTGTAATTGTTTTTGACTGCGTTAAATTCAGTTACAGGTGGCCAGCTCTCTAATTGCAGGCCTGTATAGGTTGGCATAGGTAAATGGATGAGTGGCTTACGCTATTCCTGTCTTGCAAATAAGTTGTTGCTACTACATACGATGGAGAGCTTCCAATCTTTAATCTGAAAGACACTTAAAGTACCGCAATCTGCGTGGCAACTTTCATAACGATCCCCAAACATTCTTTTGAGAAGGTTCCTGGATACCATCCCTGTGCATTCAACTGTTTCGGCGTGTATGTGAACACATTTGGGAACTAACAGGGGTTACACTAGAAGAATCCCACCACTACCACCACAAGAGTCACCGCAGTAGAGCAGTTAGATGAGCGCTCTCGCTCCGCGGCACTTGTTGTGGTGAGCTACAGTGTCATTGACACTTTCATTAAATTCATGTTTATGTAAATAATAATTATTTGTATATGGGTACTAAACACTTATCAAAGGGTTTATTGCGAAATTATTGCTCCCAAACGCTCAATCTCAAAACAATAGAGCGAAATATAGTCTCACATCACAGCAGATATATTACTGATAAGATATATATATATATATACTAATATAATTATATAGATATACAGATTATATATACTTTAAGCAGTTTGTCATGATTAACATGGGACCAAGCATCTGATGTTTGGGTGGGTGGGTTTTTTGGTAGTGTGTTTACGGGAGTTTGTGAGATTCTTTACGTAGATATGATGATGTGTGTGCAGGTGGTTGCGTGTGTGGGGGTGTCAGTTTGAGTGTGTGAGTAGGTGGATGGCTGGGAGAGTACATGTGTGTGTGTGAGTAGAATTGGTGATTGAAAGAAGAGTCGTTATTTCGATACATGACCGCATTAGATTATTGAGATTTACTAACGTTAATAAGCGACCAGATATCTGTTTGTAAAACAATATGGTGGCAATAAAAGTTTATGTTTACATGATAATATATGCATTTATATATGTGTGTTGCATATTTATTGCTGATCTAGCAGATCTTTTAGTTATGTTAACGAGATTCTCTCATTTTCCTTCACCCTTTATGCGTATGCAGCTATTTAATGTTATAGCAATCACATGTTGTTAGGCACCTTCAGACCCTCGATCGCTCTATAAGGTCAGCTTAAGAGCATTCCTACATATGCGTGTGATTCTCATCCAGCATCATCACCATCCTCCCTCCCCCCAAAGCATCCTCTTCCATTCACCCCCAGCATTCTCCCCCACGTCTTTCTTAGCATCGTGCCTAGCATCCTCATAGTGTCCTCCCCAGCACCCTCCCTCTGGCATCCTGCTGCGTGCTTGCCCAATATCCGGCCTCCCCAACATCCTACCTAGCATCCTCCCCAGCATCCTGCTGTGTGCTCGGCCAATATCCTCCCAAACATCCTACCCCAGCACATTTCCTCTGATGAAAAAAACCTGCAGTGTTGTTCTATCATTCAACTAGAGCACTCGGAGAGCACAGACCTCCGCCAAGGCAGATGAATTCTCTGACTGTGAAAATTTTTATTAATTAATTAATTAAGTGAAAAGTTTAATTAATTAATTAAATAATTAATTGGATCCGGATCACCACCAAAATGTAATCAATTCAATGAGTGATGGTGACGCTAGATGGCAGACGCACATACACATACATTAGACTCTATCAGAAATCATGTAAGCGACACAGGCGCCATTCCCACGTACATTAGCATAGGGGAAGGATGTTGGTGGGATGTAACGGCCAAAGTGAAATTTTTAGAGCAGATTTTACCATGCACATCTTTTCCAGGCATATGCGTAATCCCTGTCCACGTTAAGTGAGTAACTTTGGATACGAAAAATAATCGTTGCTGGCAACGTTGCAACCAAAGTGAAATTTTAAATCGGGTTTCACCATGCACACGCGGCGCGAGCCCCCCTCTGTCCAGTTTGAGTGTATTAGTACAGTAGATTAGAAAATAATCGTTCAAAATGTGAAAAAAGTATGAAAATTGGTACACTTGCATACTTTTGTACGCACGCGCGCGCGCACGCACATAACAGATAGCTATATACGCGCACGAGCACGCACGCACATAACAGAAGCTATATACGCGCGCGAGCACGCACGCACATAACAGGTACCTATACGCCCGCGAGAACGCACGCACGCACATAACAGAAGCTATATACGCGCGCGAGCACGCACGCACATAACAGGTACCGGTATACGCCCGCGAGAATCGCACGAGGCATAAACAGGATCGCGACTAACGCGCCGGCGAGCACGCACAGCGACATAACAGAAGCTATATTACGCGCGCGCGAGCACGCACCGCACATAACAGGTACCTATAGCGCCCAGCGAGAACGCAACGCACGCAATAACAGAAAGCTTAATATATCGCGCGCGAGCACGCCACGCACATACCAGGTACTATAACGCGCCGCGAGAAACGCAGCGCACGCACATAACAGGTAGCATATACTGCCCGCGAGAACGGCACGCACGCACATAACAGAAGCTGATATACGCGCGCGAGCACGCATGCACATTAACAGGTACCTATACGCCGCGAGTAACGCACGTACGCACATAACGAAGCTATATACGCGCGCGAAGCACGCATGCACATAACAGGGTACGCTATCGCCCGCGAGAAAAACGCACGCGACATAACAGATAAGCTACTATATACGCGCGCGAGGCACGCCACGCACAATATCAGGTACCTATACGCCCGCTGAGCACCGCATGCACGGCAGCAACGCGCGCCAACAGATAGCGATAGCGCAGCGCACAACGCGCACAACAGATAGCGAATACGCCCGCCGAGAACGCACGCGACATAACAAATAGCTATACGCCCGCGAGACCCCGCACGCACGCAACTAACAGATAACTATATACGCGGCGCTGGAGCTACGGCATGCCACATACAGCGTAGCCTATACGCCGCGAGAACGCACAGCACGCACATAACAGATAGGTATACTTACGCGTCGCGGAAAGCACGCACGCACATAACAGTTACGCTATACGCCCGCGAGAGACGCAAGCGTCGCCATAACAGGCTTACGGCTCTACGCCCGCCGAGGCATGGGGGGGCGCCACGCACATAACAGGTACCTATACGCCCGCGAGAACCGGCACGCAGCACATAAGCAGATAGCTATATACGCGCGCGAGCAGCGCACGCAACGAATAAACAGGCTAGCCTATACGCCCGCGAGAACGCAGCACATAATAGAAGCTATATAGCGCGCTCCGCTGACAACGGCACCGCAACATAACTATAACAGTACTATACGGCGCCGCGGATGAACGCACGGCACGCACATAACAGATAGCTATATTAGCGCGCGCGAGCAGCAGCAGCATAAAACAGATATCTATATATACGCCCGGCGCCGAACGCAACGCGCATACAGAAGCTTATATGCGCCCGCGAGACGCACCAGCATAAGCAGATAGGCCTATTACGCCGCGAGAACGTCGCACGCACCGCACATAACAGATAGCTATATGACGCGCGACCGGAGG